ATGTTCTGGCTATAGACACACACACACACACACACACACACACACACACTATGGAGCCTTTTTGCATTGCTGGGTCAGACTGGGCGTGTTACCAGATTGATCAATGTGACATGATGATGTATTCACTGGAGCATGAAATACTTATGGCAGAACTAGCTGACTGGAATCTCACCTTGTTTTTTTTACTTTTGTTAATTAATATTTCTAATTATTCACATTAGAAGACATTTGATCACAAACTATTCTCCTTTCTCAAAACTTTTTTTTTCAGTCAATAAGCTGCAACAGCTGAAATAATGATATTCCCACAATGCAACAGAGCTGCTTTCCTTTTGTTTTCTGAATCAAGTGATTGTTCTTTCAAAGAGGCAGCATCACTCTCTATATTTTAATGCTGACACTTTTTTTTTTTTTGGAATTCATAATACAATTTCGGTTGCTCTGAAATGATTTCAGCTATTAGTGATGGACTTAGTTAAAGAAAGTACCGTCTGTCTGAACACAGTATTTCATTGTAAAGAGATTCTTACTCTGAAGAAGCCAATAGAGCTTTTTGTCATTGTGTGCATTTAGTAAAGTAACTGAAGTAAATGATATTGAAGCAGAATCAGGGGAGCGAAGAGGCAGTGCGCCCTCTTCTGTTTGCAGCCAGAAACAACATCCAAGCTTCACCTGAGTGCTCACATGAGAACATGTGGAACCTGAAGCAGCCTGCAGCTCTCAGATGGTATGAACACTGAGAATAAGACGTTGTGTGTGAGGACGAGCCACGAGCAGGAAGCAGGCTGCTTTTTGTTCAAATGCTGCAGCATATGCTTTGGCCAGAAAGCAGCATTTGTTCTGCCTGGTGTGTATGGGCTAATTAAGTGAAGTGTTATTCTGATGGTTTTCACTCACTTCATATTCATCATTTGCGTTCTGATATTGAACACGAACTGTTATGCATGCAGCAACACTTTGAATATTGCCAAGAAATTTGCAGGCTGGGACACATACACGTGTGTGTGTGTGTGTGTTTGTGTGTTTGCTGAAGCCAGGCTAGCACCTCCTCCATAGAAAGACATGTGGACAGGGACAGACAGACAGACAGGGACAGACAGACAGACAGGGACAGACAGACACACAAGGTGCAGAGAGGAGGATCTGCAGCTGGAGGAAACAGCTGTCAGGTCACACTGTCTCCTTGGATCACATTGATTTTATAGATTTAATGAAGAAAGGGAATCTGGATTCAAACAACAACATTTCTAACATGGGAAAAAGCGAAATGCACAATAATAACAAAAAAATGAAGAACATAATGAACCCTGAACATTTTCTTTTTTCTTTCCTCCACATACAATATATTGCACAGACATCTGCACTGTACCTATCTCGCTGATGCACATAGAAGCATGTGAGGTCGCTTGATATATATTGACATTTCTTGACTTTCATGGGAGATGAATTGTTTTTTCCAGATGTATTAATAAATATACTCACTAGGTTTGAAATGCAGAACATCATTTCTATGAGACGCATTTAGAGCTGCGTCTGTGCTCTTAAAGATTGAATACTCTTTGATTACTGGGGTCATGAGATTTTTTGGTCCTTAAAATAGGGTCCGAAACATAAAGAAATAAGGAAAGAGAGGACTAAACAATGACTAACCAGCTCTTCTCTCCTGTTCCCTGCTGGCTCGCAGCGCTGAGCTGTAACGAGAACGACGGGGAGTCCATGGACCGGGACTCACAGTACAGCTCCAGTCAGAAGACCAAGCGCATGCGGACGTCCTTCAAGCACCACCAACTGAGGACCATGAAGTCCTACTTCGCCATCAACCACAACCCAGACGCCAAGGACCTCAAGCAGCTTGCCCAGAAGACGGGCCTCACCAAGCGGGTCTTACAGGTAACCACAAAAGCCCGACCGCAGGTTCCTTCACGCAGGGAGGAGACAGATGCAAACAAGGGTGCAGGAATTCCACTTGCTTCCAAGGGTAAAATATATGAAGTGAGGTTTTCCTGACAGAAGCCAAATCAGATGCTTTATTTCAAGATAATGCTGTTTTTCATTGCAGTGAAATTCTTGGAAGACAAGCTGAACAAAAACAAAAGCATATTTTTTTGCTTTCTTTTTTAACCTTTTTTTCTTAATTAAATAAAAACAAAATCACAGAATAAGAAATAAAATGAAAAGCTGCACTGAAAAGCAGAAGATATTTTAATTTCCTCAAAGGAAACAAACCTGCTAAAAGTCAACGTGTGTTGAAATTACAATACAAAATGACCTGGGAGTGAAAAGAAAGTCATAAAAACAAAGCAAATTGCAATCTATTTGAGTGGACGATGTGATGTTATGACGAGGATTGAGGGATGAAAATCAAAAAGCTCTGTAGTACACGCCAAGAAAGACGAAGCACACCAGAGCGTTTGATTTCCACAAAAGACGACAGCAAATTATCTGGGGGACCTAGGAGAAGAAAAATGAGACAAAAAGGTTTCTGAATCAAATTCTTTCCTGAGAAGGGAAAAAAATAACAATCATCCCGCTGCTTTAATTAACGCTCGCAGAAAACAAAGCAGTCGTTTTGCTTTGATGCGTTTGAGTTTTCATGCCTGTTATTCCGGTTGAAGCGCCCGGTTCCCATGGCTCCGTCATGATTCCAGCGCTAACGCGCTCCAACACTCAGCTCAGTGCAGACTCACCACATCTCACACACCACTGTTTGTTATCGAAAAAGAGAGCAAAGATTAAATGTAAAAAAAATGTAATTCAAAAATGAAAATAAACATCAGGGGACAATAAGGAGCAGGCTGCTTGTTCTAAAACTGGGGTGCAGGGCCCGCTTGACAGGGTTCACAGGGTCCTCAGCAAACCATTCATTTCATTGCTAATATGAGACTCTGACTCGATGACGGAAATCAGAGCTGCTTTTATCCCAATACACACTTTTGTCTGTGGCTACTACTGTCTTGTCTCCATGACGAGCCATAAACAGCAAAGGCTTTTATAACGTTTGCACACAGAGCGCCCTGGCGTTGTGCTTTTAAAGGTTGACTCCAGTGTGAGCATCTGCAAACAGACTTTAAACCTTTAAACTTTAGACCACACACGAGGAGATGCTCACTGGTGTGTGCTCTTAATTGATATTACACGGCTTTGTGGAATAGCTGATTCTGATTGGTCAGTGATGTCAATCTAGGGTCGGTTCATTTCTGTATAGCAATTGCTATGGACACAGTTCTGATCTCCAGAAACTGCGAGAGGATTATTTCTTTTCACGGAAGGAACAAAATCATTTTTAAATCAATAATTTGGGTCAAATGATCGATTACTTTAGTAAGTAGCGATGTAATAAGTAAGGGATAATGTACAGCGAGCCTGTCATTATCGTGAAATAAACCCCTTTAAGGTGATTCAAGATGCCGCTGTGAGGGCTCGCTGTACATAACTCCACATAGCAAATAGAAAGAGTAGGGGTGTGGTGGGGGTGGAGATAATGTGGGTCTGGTGGGGGTCATAGATAGTTTTCTCACTGCCTAAAAATGTCCCATATGAGTGTTTTCGTTTGTTTGGACCACCCAGCCTTGACTGGAATTTGTCGCTCTTTATACTACATTACCTAACTTCGTCCTTTGCTTGTGCCACATAGGGTGTGACAGCTAATGTAAATCCTCCCCGATGAAAGGTTCAAATGGACCAATGTAGACTGTATAGAAAAAACTATGATCTGTGGAAACGTAAAGCTATGTCGTATTGAAACAAATGATCTTTACCTCAAACCACAGAGTCTGAGACTGTGAGGATGTGTTCCCTCCTCTCCGGCAGCCCTAGGTGTCCATTCATTTTACCACAGTATCAAAACTTCATTTAGATGACTTGATACATGCTTGAGGTCCAGTAGGTTAATCCATAAGAGTGAGCATCATGTCTGCATTCATGAGTGTCACTTGTATGACTGATATGTGCTGATGCAGTTGTAAGTGAGGACTGAGCACAGACATAATGTTGTGTTTCCATAGTGTTTGGTCTGGAAGGGAATGGACTGAAATCAATGCGTGGAAGGAAGTAATAGTAACAGCATGCTGGACAGAAATGGTTGGCAGCTTTGTCTAAATGATTGTAGTGACTGGACTTAAATATGCATAATCACAGGTGTGGTCAGTTAACAAAGTATTGTTAAAAAAATACATGTTTAAAGGTCAGTTCAATAAAATGAGACAAAAACATTTTCGAATTGACCTCGTATTATCTGTCCACGTCTACGTCTACAATAGACGTGGAGGTGAGTGGAACTTACAGCACCGAAAAATGACGTTTGTATAAATTAACACCAACATGTCCTTTCAGAAATGTGTCCTCTTCATTCTTGATAATCCACAGACCATGCAGTTATCGTTGGAATGTACTGGGTCTAAGAAATCCTCCCTGAGGGTTATCTAGAGCAGCAGTGGGAGAGATGCTACTGCAGAACATTTGAACTGCTTTGAGCTCAACAAATGGTGGAGATATTTATCTCACAACCAAATAAAACATAAACTGCATGGCGATAGGTAAATCCAAAATCTATCTTTTGTGTACTGCGGGTGACCTGAACTTGAACAACCCTGCTAAATGTTTTGTTAAATGCTAAATGCTAAAAGCTGCTATAGGATGAACATGGTATCAGTAACAATTGACAGGACGGATTCTGTTGTTTTATTCCTGCAGGTCTGGTTCCAAAATGCTCGGGCCAAGTTCAGGAGGAACCTGCTGCGGCAGGAGAGCACCGGGGGGGACAAGGCATCGGACGGCTCCACGCTGCAGGGCGGGACGCCGTCGGGCCCGGTCTCGGAGATCTCCAACGCTTCCATGAGCCCCTCCAGCACCCCCACCACCCTGACAGACTTGACCAACCCCACCATGCCCACTGTCACCTCCGTGCTCACCTCCGTGCCGGGCGGCATGGACGTCCACGAGTGCCGGAGCCCCACACAGACCACGCTGACCAGCCTCTTCTGATGGACGGAGCCGCCTTCACCACAGCCTCACCGCTACCCCTCCCCCCCCACATTTCCGCTCCACACTACTGGATCTAAAACTGAGCATTGTTGACTACTTCGATTAGAAAAGAGAAGGTAACGGAAACATTAAAAAGATTATTTCACTCTGCTCTGAGCCCATTAGAGACTATTTGCATAGTGAGGCGGCCGAGCCTTACAGTTGGAACAGTTGTCGTTATTTTGATGTTGTTGTCTTGTCGAGAACTGAGGAGACTTGATTTGTATTTTTCAATGTTTACAGAAAGAGACTGCGGGGAAAAAGAAACTGCTTAATTTTTAATTCATTCATTTTTCCAGCACAGTATTTATGTTGTTGTACAAGAGTCACTGTTAGAAGGATTGTAAAAAATCTTTTTTGAAAATCTGAGATTAAACACAGGTTACAATATCCTACGACTGCCATGTGCCTTACAGTCCATTCTATCGATCAGACACCAATGATCAACTCGGAAGAGAGTGTAGGGGGAATGACTTATTGTGTGTGTGTGTGTGCGTGTGTGTGTGTGTGTTATGGTTAGCTCCATGTTTTGTGTGTGTGTCCGCACATGTGTAGTTTACTTACATTGATAAACATTCTGCTTTGATTTCAAATGTTCCTGATGAGTTACTAATTATATTTAATATAGTTTAATAAGAATAATTAAAGTAATTATTCTCTTCGTCTAGAATCTTTTTCCCCATCTTGTCAGGAAGCAAATTGAAGGCCTTTACACACCGGGAGCGTCTTTTTCTGTTTGTATTGCACAACATGTTGTTTTGAACTGTTATTCTTGTCATAAATGCTTTAACACCAACTCAGCAGGTTGTGCAGAACAGGTTGAGTTGCACCTATATTAATAAAAGAGAACGCAGAGGCGTTCATTCGTCCCCCGCTGTGTGTGAAGGCCTTTAAGCAGAGTTGAAAGCTGCTGTGCATGAGGACACAGTGTTGAATGCACTGTTAGCCGAACACATGCAGGTCAACCAAGACAGGGACATTTCAGACATAAATCTTAGACTTTTAATGTGAATTCCCTACCAAATGCATTTATTTATTTATTATTAAGACATTATTTAGCTTTCAATAGTCTTATTTGTCATTTTGCATCCCTGCCCCGTGCACTGATGAGGCTACTGTTTTTAGCTTGTAGGGTAAAACAACAATAATCCACATATTACATTACAATAAGACAAACTCTGCTGTTCTTCCCTGTGCACAGACAATTTAAGTTTTAAACCAGTAACATCATCTGAAACATTTTAAGTGAAAAATATCTATTGTTAGGGTGTCCCTCAAGATAAATCCAAGAATAGCTTTCATTAGTAGTGAAATTAGGCAGAATTATCTCACATTAACCTGTTCAAGGAAGGTTGAGTTCAGATGGTCTGTGCAGGCGGAGGAGAGCTGCTGGTGCGACCCACGGATCAGTCCCAGACTGCTGTCGTCATCCTGATTGAGCTCCTCTTGCTGTGCAGCGTTTGCCCATTCTTGTGCACATCCCCTGGAAAGAAATGAATCTCTATTCATTTTAACACTTTCTTTTCCAAGATATCTGTACACAGAGAGGTGCATTGCTCTGCTTGCTCAAAGGTATTTGAGCAAGTATTTGTGACCAGAGCTATGGGTGGTATTGCATGTATAAATCCATCCTAAACAGGAGTTTTGATACATTTCTGCATCTTGTATTTTTCCCACTTCGGTGTGGTGAAAAATTTAGGATGTCAATACAGGAAAGGTTAGAGGAAACCATTCCACTAAAAAGCCCCAACATTGAAATCATGGCAGCAGACAAAAAACACCTCAGACATTCATCTTTTTTGATTTGTTGACTTTTTTTCGTGCTTTTTCTTCCACTGAAATGCAAACCAGACAGCCGATACATTATGTTTCAATTTGCTTTGAAGGCAGTGAGTTGACATCACTCACACTGTGTGGGGTGGCCTACAAGGCCCTGGTGGCTTCGCTGTCTTTCTTTAAATATTTGACATTGTGAAGACAGACGGTCATGGGAAAAGCAGGTTGACCCCCAGCAGAGATCCCTGGCCCAATCAAAATTGAGCCTTCAATTTTTGGTTTGGTCATATTTCTAACAGCGGCAGCACAGACCTCTACACAGGGAGGCTTTTTTTTTTTGTTCAACTGTTTTTTGTTGTTCTTTTCACATGGAATCCAAATATTTTGCAGGAAAAAAGCGACTTCACGAGAGTGAAGGCATCACATTGTGAGAAACGGGTTGAGGTGCCACTATAAGTGTTATAAAACAACAACAAGAAAGCTCCCTAGTCCGAACCAAACTTTATTACTCCTTTCAATCTTGACAAAGGCAGCAGATCCACTTCTTCCCTTCTTCCCTTTCACAATAAAAGCTCTCTATATATATTATTCACAGGTGAGTGTCTTGTTGTTTCTTTGTCAGGGCCTGGTGTGCTCAGGCCTCAGAGCTTCAGCTGCAGAGTGGCTATGGACACACTTCCAGAGTAAGTAGCACTCAGTTATGGAGTCAGATCAGTTTCAATATTAATGAATGGACACAGAAAGATTGACAAATGCATTTTGTGATTCATATATAAATGACTCTTCGCACAGAAATATTTTTGCATGCTCACAAAAATAGTGACATCATACAGAAATGTAAAAAAATTATTATATATATATATATATATATATATATATATATATATATATATATAT